CTGAAATATCCTGCAGAAATACCCATAGTGCATTTCTCTGTGGGACCTAACAAGCTACTTAGTTTAACTTTGTAGCCCGTCTCATGCTACTAGGGATGTGAGAAGGTTGACATATATGCACAGTCTACATGCCTTCCACAAGGAGTTCTAGAGGAATGTCAGCTAGCAGTGCCAAGGACCCAGATGTCCCCCTCAAGCTAGTGTAGAGATCTAAGGCAAGAGTAATAGAGACCTGGCCACAACTAGGGCATAGATAAATAATTGCTGAAAGGCTTCATCAAGTGGAACCTGGAGTTTCAACTTGAAGTGGTTGGTTATTGTGAACTCACTCGCTCTTCAAAAAGAAAGTCAAATCCCAGAGTAAGAGGTGACTTGCCTCTGCCTAGTAAAAAGACATGCGACGGAACAATCTTTGGAATGTATACTAGGTGCTTAATGAGGCACCTGAAAGTGTTTAATGTATAAGAGGTATTTGTTTCTATAGGTGAGGGCGAGAAATGGGTTAAAATCTCCGCCAAGGGCACATGTGTACACCTGCACTTCATTATGACTACAAAACTGAATGATCATCATAAGCTATACTTAACTTGGTAGCCAGTAGATCTCAGGTAAGTCATGAAGCAGTCAGGTAAATCCCTCTGGTACTTCAGCCAAGCTGTGGGTGTCATCTGACAGTAACCATTCATGATGTAGATGGAGTTCCTCTTTCATCTTGCTCTGTAAGGTGCAATGAGATGCAGTATATGGGTGATTTGTAAATGCTGGCTATGTTTGTCAACAAAGAAACAGGGCAGAAGTGTGATTGCATTCCAAGCCCATATCAGTGGGGAGAAGAAATGAAAACTTGATTCTTATGCATGTTGAATAAATCTGCACCAAGAGTTTCTGAATGATCCATAAGCAACAGAAAGATGGTCCAATGAAGGTCCAGTCTGTGAAGTACTGAGAGTTGTCATGACAGGTTCTGTCAGTAAGGGATGGGAGGAGATGAATGTCATAGTTGAGCAAGTGTAGTCCTCTTGTCTGAACAAACTGCTGGAATTGTATGTTTAAAAACAAAAACCCAAATGTATCCTTGCATGGTGAAAGACATTCAGTTCTCTCTGGTTGAAGTGAAAAGTGATGGGGGAAAGGATAGCAGATCTCCAAGATCCGAATTAGCTTGAACAACCTTTCAACAAGCCATCTGACAAAAGAGCATGTGTTGAGGAAGAAGTTTATAAGAACAGACTCCCACAGAATTTCTGGGAGACTCCATAACTGTAGAGTTATAGGTAACAATGTTGGAAGGAAAATATCTCCCTGCTGAGAGTTGATTAGATTCATTGCAGCACTCTAACTACCTGAGACAAGTTCAGAATCCATCTTCTTGCAGGGTGTTTAACCTTTAAACTGTCCAGACATAGATCTACGTTTATGCACATAGTGCTCCGACCTTGATTTTCCTCATTTCAAAACGTGAAAAAGATGTAGATCTACGTTTGGAGAAGCTACGCGAGCGAACGCAGATCTATGTTTGGACAGTTTAGGGGTTAAGATTCATTGGTGAAACCCTGAATGTGATTCCTCATTTTTTTCTTTCAAATAGAATTGAGAGCTGTAAATTGGCTAGGTCAAACTGAACTTGCAGTCAAGGTGGTAGTGTGTGCTGGTGTGATTTTTTTTTTTCCAGATTTAGGAGGGTTCCTTCAGTTTGAAATGTCCAGACAGCTACAGTATACAGTACTAAGGTTGATAGACATTTAAAATAATTTGGTCCATGAGTAGGAAGTCATTAGCACAGATAGTGATAAACCAAAGTGAAGATCCATGGGACTGTTATGAAACTGAATGATCAAGCTGTGAATCGTAATCAACACCCTATAAAAAGAAACAGAAAGACTATAGTTACAATACCGTAACTGGAACAACTCTCAACAAGAATCTGTGTTTAGGAGAGGAACATAAAGATGATGTTTTGGTCCTTCCTGGACCATTGTCAATTAACAGCTGAGTGAGAAATATGTGGAGTAGGCCAGAAGACAGAATGAGGGTAGGGAAGAGGCAGGAGGATTAGTAGTAGTTTAGTAGCAGTAATGAGGAAGTAGCAGCAGTAAGGGTAATGGTAAAACAGGTAGCAGCCAGAAGTGGTAGTGTAAAACATCAAGAAAAAGAGAAGAACACTGTAGGAGGGCAAGTGGCTCGTGGAAATAGGGCAAAACTTCCCGGGGGTTGGGGGGGGGCAAAACCCATCAAGGCAAAGGACAGGAAAGGTTAAGATAAAATGGAAGACAGAGGAAGAGGAAGGAGAGGAGGCAACAAGTATTAGGTCACATCACAGGTGTTCCGAAGGAAAGAGCATTTGAAAACGTAATGGGAAAGAAAGGCATAGACAGACACAAAGCCAGAACCAGGATTCATTCTAGGAAAGTTATGCATACAAACTGCTTCAGTGAGAAGGTATCTTTGAAGGGTGGCTATGATCTCTGACATGACAGAAAACAGCATTGTTAGTATTGCCAAGGCAAACATCTTTTGTGCTCTTTGTATGCCAGGGAGCAACTAGTTTCTGGAAAGTATTGGAGAGGACAGGAAAAACAGGAAATGGAGTAGACACTAAAAACATCAGTGACAGGAGAAGTGTCACCAAGATTAGCATATAGGATATTAGTCTGATGAAAAGTAAGCTTGATATCTAGAGGATGGAGGGTGTTAAGATTTTGAAGGCAAAGAACAAGAGGAACAGAATTGGCTGAACTATCATCCTAACATATCTTGCCTAAGTCCAGGTGTTTGGTGAAAAGAAACAAAAGAATCTGCAAAAATCATTATTACAGTAAGCTCTTGAGTGGTGCATTTTTTGGAAAATGCAATTGAAAAAGTTTATCTGAAATTGAATAGTAGATACTTTGAAAGCCTTTGCACATGATATTCAATTTTGGATGCACTTCTTTCAGCTGCATTTTCAAAAATTTGCACTATTTAAGAGGAGCTTTTTAAGAGAGCTTACAGTATTATTATAATTATTACTATTATTATTATCACCATTATTAGAATTCTAAACCTGTAGGGGTCATACAGTTCCTTGGGTGTGGGAGGCTATGAGGTTCAGTCTAAAGGAGAGGATAAGTTCAATTCCGTGGATCAAGAGCCCCCTCAATAGCATCAAGAAACCTTGAAAGGTAATACAGCCTCTCCTCACTTAACGATGGAGTTCCGTTCATGAAACCATGTCGTTAAACGAATTTGTCACTAAGTGAGAAGCGTACTATAATGGTAGTGAGTTTGTGTCAACCATCTTTTAATATTGTTTTAATGTCACCTTTGCACCATTTATAACATTTCTGGTATATTTTTAAATGTTTATACAGTAGTGTACTCTATATTGAAATAAACAGAATAGAGGAAATCAGCTCTAATATTTAGGTGTGAATACTGGTCAGAGAGCCCGTCATGAGTCCGAGGCGTTGGTAAACGAGTATGTCACTAAGTGAGGAGAGGCTGTATTATGTTGACTATAACAGGGACAATCTCTACTTGATATTGGTCAGAGAAACCAGATCATTGAGGACCTGTATCACTCCATTGAGGTGATGTTTCACGTACTGAATCACAAGAAATGTGCAGAAGAACTTTAGGGGTATGTCATGTTGACACCATTGTAGAGAGGGTCACTGAATTAGAGAGGCATGACTAGTTTATGTTGCGGGATGAGAGCATCCAGAGTAATGGAACTCGGTAACGTGGCCTCTGATTAATTAATGGAATGTGTGTGGAAATATTGGCATTGACATTCCTCTTGACTTGAGTGTACACTCATTCTCTTCTGAAGCAAATTGAAGAAAGGTTCAACTTCTGTATTTCTATAGCAGACATGAGAAAACTATTAGGGAATGAACCTGCTATCTTGAGAAACTCCTCAGAAGTGAATAGGCGTCTATAGAAAGTTCCTTTGGAAAGGCATCTCTGACCAACGAATGTCAGTCAGTTCTTCACTGAAATCAAAATCCGGTAGCCCTGTGACTGTCTAAGAAGAATTCCTAAAATACCCATTCTTATCTGGAATTCACACTGCTGGAAATTTAATTGAAGATGAAGCATATTTGGTTGTCAGACATACTAGTAAATTGCATTGATCCATGTACTGTAATTATATATAAGACTATTGATAACAGGCTTTAGTGCAAATCGTCTAGTTCACTGCCTGGAATTGGAAGGTTGGGTTGGAAAATTAGGGACACACTAAAGGCATATCTAGCCCTCTTAACAGATTACCTCTCTGTTAGCAGTAGAAAAGGAAGTTAAGTGTTGTAAGAGCAATTGACTTACTGACAACACTTACTAGCTTGCAGAAGTTCACTTCACTGAATTCTCGGTTTCAACTAAGCACTGATCAGTTATTTCTTGAGCATGGACTGTGTGTCATGCAAAAATATGTCTTAACAGTATCATCCAGCCTGGATGAGCAAGTATAATGACCAAAAAATTGAGTGATGTTCTCCATGGTGTTGAGGTTTTCCATTACCAATTCAGGCAGCCCACTGGAGTTTAGGGCTCATGCAGTTGACGACAGCAGCGCAGGAGATGGTAAATAAAGAATATATGGGCAAAAAAAATTTGTGTATAGTTTACTGACTGGTAAAATAGGAAGTCTACCAACAGGTCACTGTTCCAATAGTGGTTCATGGAGCCTGAACACAAATGACAGGTGATAAAATTTAGATGCAATTAGTGGATTATAGTGCATTAAAAGGGTTATGAGATGAGAGAAAATGAAAGTATGTGGTGTCTGTTTAGAAGAGTGCAGTCATAAATGATAATTTGCTACTGTACTATGCACTGCTAGCAAATGGAAATATTGTGAGTTGTTGTTTCAAACTGGAAGGACTGATCAGTAATTACATGCTGTATAAAATTTAAAACCCACTGGTTTTCCTCATTCAAATGGTAGGATTGGCTTTGATACTAGCTGATGTTATAAATAGATTTTGAAGTGCTTGAATTATCCTAACTACTTCTAGATGATGAGGAGAGCTCCGAGGATGAGTCTTTAGATGGGGGAAGCATAAAGAAGAGGAATCCCTCAGCAGCATCCACTTCCACCAATGAAGATGAAGATGATTCTCGGTAATTGTGTAATATTTTCATTGACTGAAATGTAGAGGAAAACACGTTTTACAGCTTTACATTGCTAAATTTTAACAGTAGTGCACAGTCATAATTCAATCAGCATTCAGGACTGGTTCCAGGTGCTATAACCTTACAGGGGCAGCAGTAAACACTTTCAGAAGCTCTTACAGAAAATCAAACACTCAAAGAAAACATTGAGCCCAAAATCTCGTGTATATTTATGTGTCTAGACAGTTCTTGCTGAAATGCAGATTATAGACAGTATTTTATATATTGTACATACATCATTATATATTACATTATATTGTGTGTGTGTATGTGCATGCGTGCTTGTGTGTGTGTGTGTGTGTTTGTATGTATGTGTGTATGCAGGCATGCATTGTGTGTGTACTTTGTGTATTTTTTTGACAGGCCATTTTTCACACAGTGGTCCTTTTATTAGGTACACCCTTCTAGTACTGAGTAAGGCTTCCCTGTGCCCCCAAAGCAACCTGAATTATTCTTGGCACAGATGCAACAAGGTGCTGGGAACATTCCTTAAAGATCCTGGTCCATGTTGACATGATAGCATCGCTCATTTGCTGTAGATTTTCTGTGAAAATCTCCTGTTCCACCATAACCCAAAGGTTTAAACAAATTCTTACCTTGCTTACATTCCAACAGCTCATCAAGTCTCCAAAGCCATTTGCCTACACTCCTAACACGCTCTCTCACACACACACATGCTAGATGTCTAAGCCCTTCGGAAATTTGGGAGGATATGGAAACAAAGGAAATTAAAAAGTGAACACAGGAAAGAGCAAAGTGATGAGGGTAGCAAACAAGTTAGGTACTGAAAGATTAGATATCAGATTGGAAGGAAGAAGTGAATGTGTTAAGATATTTTGGAGTGGACTTTTCTGCAGATGGGTCTATGAAAGACGAGGCGAGTCATGGAACTGATGAAAGAAAAATGTGAATGGTACACTGAGGCATCTGTGGAGACATAGAACATTATCCATGGAGGCAGAGAGAGGAATGTATGAGAGTATAATGGCTTCAGTGCTGTTATATGGGTGTGAAACATGGGTTTTGAATGTTGCAGCAAGGAGTCATTGGAGATGTCACGTCTGAGGACAATGTGTGGTGTGAATATAAGAGAGAGAATCCATAGCTTGGAGATTAGGTGGAGGTGTGGGTTTTTAAAAGTATTATCCAGAGGGCAGAGGAGGGGTTGTTGAGGTGGCTTGGACATGTAGAGAGAATAAAACAAAGGATGACTTGAGGGTGTATAAATCTATAGTGGAGAGAAGGTTGGGTAGGGGTCACCCTAGGGAAGCTCGGAGGGGGGGGGAGGAAGAGGTTTTGTGTACAAAGGGCTTGGATGTCCAGCAGGTGTGTGTGTGTGTACTCACCTAGTTGAGGTTGCAGGGGTTGAGTCCTAGCTCCTGGCCCCTCCTCTTCACTAATCGCTACTAGGTCATTCCCTGAACCGTGAGCTTTATCATACCTCTGCTTAAAGCTATGTATGGATCCTGCCTCCACTACATCGCTTCCCAAACTATTCCACTTACTGACTACTCTGTGGCTGAAGAAATACTTCCTAACATCCCTGTGATTCATCTGTGTCTTCAACTTCCATCTGTGTTCCCTTGTTCCTGTGTCCAATCTCTGGAACATCCTGTCTTTGTCCACCTTGTCAATTTCTCATTATTTTGTATGTCGTTATCATGTCCCCCCTATCTCTCCTGTCCTCCAGTGTCGTCAGGTTGATTTCCCTTAACCTCTCCTCGTAGGACATACCTCTTAGCTCTGGGACTAGTCTTGTTGCAAACCTTTGCACTTTCTCTAGTTTCTTTCTGCTTGGCTAGGTGTGGGTTTCCAAACTGGTGCCAGATGCATACTCCAATATGGCTAACGTACACGGTGTACAGGGTCCCAGACGATTGCCTTACTAAGTATGTCCAGAATGCTGTTCACTGAGGTTTGCTAGGCGCACTCATAATGCCTGCGTCCGTTATTTGGTTGATGTGCCTCTTCAGGATAGTAGTGCATGGTGTTTATACTCATCCCCAAGATCTTTTTCCTTAAAGTGATGTTTGAGTAGTCTCATGGCCGACCCTTAGACTGTACTGGCCGTGACTGCAGTTCTATTCCTTGCCCTTCCCCAATCTTCATGACTTTGCACTTGATGAGATTTGAACTCCAGGAGCCAATTGCCTGGACCCGCAGGTCTGCAGGCCTGTCCAGATGCCCTTTGTAGTTCTGCCTGGGTCTTTGATAGATGTGGAATTCTTCTCATCAACTTCACGTCCATCTGCAAACAGGAGCTACCTCCAGAGTCTGATCACCTTCCGTCAGTCGTTTCACAAAAATACCAGAACAGGCAACTGGTCCAAGGACTGACGCCCTGTGGGACCGACCGCTGGGTCACAAGGCCGCACTCTGACCCTCGCCAGCTTTACCATGACTCGCTGAGCTGTCTTCCTGACTAAGTATTCTCCCTGATCTATTGGTATGCCGTTCCCTGTTAACGCCTGCTTAGGGTCCTCCCTCCTCAGTTTTTGCAGGAACCCATCTCTGTGTGGAGAACTTTGTCAAATGGCCTACTGAGCAGTCCACAGAATATGCAGCCACCCACCCCTGCCTCGACTGCTTGTCTTAACTGCTACACCACTGTCATAGAACTCCATAGGTTTGTGAAACAGGATTTCCTGTACTGAAACCATTGTTAGTCTGCTTGTTAGAGAATCAATGTCCTTTCTAGAGTGTGTTCCACCACTTCTTCTCCTGATAATCTTCTCCATGATTTTAACATACATTACATGTCAGTCTGACACTGGTTCTGTATGATTATTGCTGTCATGTCTGTCTCCTTTTTTTACAAGATTGGGACTACTAATTGTCTGTCTCCATCCCTCAGTAGGCTAAATTTTTTCTCTCGCCTGTTTTTGGATCGGATGATATTGGAATGATTGTTAGATTATGGGTACGAGCATAGCACGCTTCTGCTCACGAGCACCTCTGCCCCTCGTCTCTGAGCCCTAGTGGTGAGATAGTTGATCTGGAGCCCCCATTTGATTTGAGGTATAAATCTTACATCAGAACTCTACTTCACTTCTTCCCTAGGTGTGTGCATCTGTGTTCCATCATTGGTGGTGTGCCCCTCCTCTCCGTACTTTCTTGACCCCTTTCTGTCTCCTCTGTGAGAACACTTCTTTGAATCTCTTGTTTATTCCTCACAATACTTCACACTGGTCATTTCTTGTTGTCTCTCCGTCACTGTCTCTGTCTTAGCCTGATTACCTGGTCCTTGACTGTAGTTATCCTTCCTCCTGATGTGGACTGGAATAACAGTTTCGGGTCAGGATTAGTGGGCTTTCGTTCGTCCGCTGCTCTGGGGGAGTCCGTTTTCATATTGAGATCTTTGGTGGTTTCCCTCTTATCTGCGATATTCGTTTCTCTGGCTCTACGACTGGCTCTCCTTATTCACCTGGGTCCTTTCGCTTCTATATTGATGTTCCATTCCCCTAGCACACTTGGTTTTTTGCCTCCCCTGCACCTTTGGTAGAGCTCCAAGGTCTCATCCTGGCTTTTTTTTTTCATTTATTTCTTGTTACCCTTGGGTACAAAACCTCGTCCGGCTAGCCTTCCTTGCATATCATGTTCTGCAATATTCCATCATCTCATTACTGCTTCCTCTCCATTTTTTCTCTGTCCTCCTTTGAAACCCCGTTCAGGAAGTTCCCACATTTTCCCGTGTAGTCGTCCCTTGTCTTGTAGTTTGGCTTACATTCGTCTGGCCTTCCTGCCTTCTCCCGTCCCTTGTAGCTCTACTGTGTATTCGAAGCTATAAAACCCACATGATCGATGGACCCAAAGGCTACGCGCACGCACAGCACGCACATAAAGGATCAGCAGCGCGCATGCACACACCCTCACACACACACACACACACACAGCATCACACACACACACGACACACCACACAACACACCACACACCACACACACACCACACACACACCACACACACACCACACACAACACCACACACACCACATGGGCACACACACCACACACAACACACCACACACACGACACCGACAACACACACACCACGGACACACACCACACACACAAACACACACACACCACACTGACACACACCACAGCACAACTACCACACACGACTCACGACACTACACACCACACACACACCACTACACACACCACAACACAGGATAACACACACACCACACACACACCACACACACACCACAGCACACACTACCACACACCTGACAGCACAGCACACCCACACACACACCACACACACACCACACACACACCGACACACACCACACACAGCACACCACACACACACACCACAGTCACACCAAAACACCGACACCATCACATCCACACACACACGACCACGCAGCACACACACCAATACACACACAGGCCATACACACACACCATTACACACACTACCATACACACACACACACAACACACACACACACACCCGACACACACGAGCACACACACTCAGCACACACCACAGACACCACACACAACCACACACACACACACCACACACAGCCACACACACACAACCGCACACACTACACACGTCACGACACATGGCCGCACGCATCACACCTCACGGCGAGCACACACATCCTGGAACGGCTACACCACACCACACACACACCACAGCACACACCACACACACACCACAACACAGCGACACACCAACTACACGATTTTCCACACCACACCACACACCACCGACACACACACACCACCACACCACAACACACACACCACACACCAGGCACACACCACACACACACCACACACACACCCTCACAACACCCACACACATCACACCAAACACACACCACACACACACACCAAACACACAACCATATCAGCACACACCACACACACACACCACACACACACACCACACACACCACACACAAACACCACACACACACCACACACCAC